GGGCTTGAAATTGTTCTCTTTCTTGGTCAACGGAGGCGGCAAACGCCTGAGCCTGTTGTCGTGTGTTACGGACATTAGCTTCGGCTTGCGCTACATATGCTTCAGCCTTAGCCCTAGTCTCTAGCAAGGTGGCTTCTGCTTGTTGTAGCGCTTGTGCTGCTTGAGCTTCAACAAACGATGCATAGTGCCTGGCCTGGTTGGCCTCGAGTGTTTGTTGCTCGGCAACGGTTGCTGCTTGTTGAGCAATTAGGGATGCATTGTGTGCGTTTTGTATGGCAGCACCAGCAACAAAAGCAGCGGCCGGCATATCACTAGTCGAACCCCTATATGTAGTATGTCTACTACGATTAGATGGACTAGGGGTCCTAGTTATGGGGCGACCGGTTCGGGGATCTATCCATTGTATGGGTACTTGGTCGTTACTAGGTTCACGGATACCCTCCAACGCTCTTCCCGACCGACGACGAGTGGCAGGCCTTTGCTCTGGAGTGGATGGTGAGGACTCCATGGTGGTCGTAGTCCTGGGACGCGTGACCGGTGGTGCAGCGAGCGACGAACCCCTCAGGCGAGTGACGACGGACGTGGCATGTGTGGTGGCTGTGGACGAAGTGCCTCGACCACGCCTAGAAGGACCCTCTTCAGGGGAGGACCTAGACCGTTCACCTGGGGATCATCGGGCGGGGAAAACCCTGTATGGTTCGCCATGGTTCCCACTCAACTGCAGGTGCAGTTATTTTCTCGCTACACACAGAGTCCTGACCACTCCAGCGCACTGTGGCAGCTGTTGCGTGGTGTCTGACAGAGTGCACTGAAAGGAGAATTGAATGCATGACCTAAAGTTCAACTAGATTGACATAAGGATGTTGAGATTAGCATTTCACTGCACTCAACCTAGCTAATGGCCCTACGAACGAAATGCGACCGCGCAAAGCAGCGGTTACAGGCTTGCAAGGCCCCTATCGAGCTTTAGGCCTGCGGCGTCCTCCCCCACATGGGTTGGGGTCTTCAGAGAACTCGCCTGACGCCAAAGGTCGAGGATGATGCGCAATCTTCCAGTTGTGGACGCCGGAAGAGCGGATCATGTTAGCTAGGCCTAACAGAACTGAATGCTCTGAGTTGTGAAGCGTCGCACAGGTATCCATAGCAGCCTGTGCGTCGAACTTCATTAATGATTGAGGAATCGTCGTCGACGTACGCGCAGATTTCCAATCTAGAAACGATCGGAGTCTTGCCCTCCGGTCCTACGCGGGAGTTGGTCAGGAAAATCCCTCCTCCCATTTGGAGCCCCGCTGCGCGAACGCAGTCACGAAAGTGTGCCGTCTGAGATGCGGCTCGCGCGTAGCCTTCATGTCCTGTGAAGGATATGCTGGTTATTCTCGCGCCGACGCGCTCGAGAGCGATGAGTGCATCGACACACTGACGTGTGGGGACTTCGAGCCGAGGCACCAACATGGCGTCTAAAACTTTATGAAAGTCTAGACCCACCTCTACGTTATGGGCTTGGTGAGGTGGTGTTAGTGTCAGCGGGTCACACATCTGTTGTCCGAAGATGTGTTGGGTGTTCTGCCAAAGTTCTAGATAGCGATCGCGCGGTAGCGGCGCATCATCGTCCGATGGCAGATCAGGTCGGGGTGGCTCACCACGATTTGGGGGCGCTAGGCGACCGCCACTTGGGGCTGCCTCTGCATCAACTTCTTCCGCGCGAGGCGCGGTTTCGGAAGTTGCAGGAGGTGGCGGATAACCGTGACCTCTGCCTCTGCCAGTCGCTTCCTGAGTGACCGTGGTCGGAGCTGGGCTCGACGAACGTGGTGGCCGCTCGGGCATAGGCTTAGGCTTTGGTGGTTGAGCCGCTGGCGGCGGTGGTGGGGGCTTTGGAGGCCCTGGTGGTGGGGTAGTGAAGTATCCGAAAGGTAAGAACTCCTCTACTCGCCCCGATTCGACGTAAGCCTGCTGCCGCTGAGAGGGGTCCTCTCGGATGCATTGGGGTGGAGGCTTTACTACCGTCGGTTTAGGCGGAGGTGTTCTCGACCTTGCGGACCCGGAAGGTTGTGGAGCTGGGTCGGCTTGTTCGTCGTCCTCTTCATCATCCAGGGTTTGGTCGGCCCAATTACGATTGGAGGTGCGATGAGCTGGGTCGATTAGTGGTGTTACGGTTACCGAGTTTAACTGAGTTACTACCCGCTGCGCAACAAGAGGAACTGTTCCCCGTGCGTGCTCCGCGAACGACGGCTCCGCGCTAGGCGCGGTTTCAGGCACGGCGCCAGGACCTGGCCTTAGCACTACTCTTGAAGTGGTTGAAAACACGACTCGAGTGCGCTTCGGCGGTGGTGGGGTAGCCGGAACTCTTGGCTTCGGGCCGGAGCTTCCGGTGCTTCCTCAGCCTCGATGGCGTGAGCTTGCGCCCGTCTCCAAGGTCAGGTGCTCGTGGCTTCACTGCAGGGCGTGGCGGGTTCTCATCGTCATCAACGTCCGTGGCATGTACCTCCGTATTGGGATGTACCAGCAGCTCGGACTGTGGTACAGTGAGGCCGCCCGGTTCAGTGGTTGGTCGAGTCCTCCAGATGTGGTCTGGGAGGTCATACACACTATCACGGGCTGTCTCCATTGCTATTGGCTGCGCCTGCGGTTCGTGCAGTCGGACACAGTCCAACTAGCACGGCACCCTGAAAGAAAAGAGTGACGGAAGCACCCTTTTCCTTGAGCCAAAGTGGTCGCGATCGGAGTGAACATGTTGAACACCCTTGGTGAGACGCGACAACAGAAAAGTGTACATGTAATGAATGCTGTTACACGCTAGGGGTTCACATAAAATGACTAAAACAAAGCGGCGCGACACTCTCTGCCAAACCTCACTGTTCTGATGTTTGATGTCCACCTGCTTGTTTTGCAAAAGCTTGATGTTTTACCACGGGGAAGCAAGCAGGAACCAAGCTAGCAAGTAAGCACAGGACAAGTGGAGCAAGAAAGAAAACGAAAAGCCCAGAACCCGAGCAACCAAGAACTTCATTGATCAACTGAAGTTGGAGGCAGTCAGAAGGGTCATCTTGAAACGAATCCGATGAACGAGCCTGAGACCTGCAGGGGAGCTGCTTCTAAAGGAGCCACCAATCAACCTTCAGGGCTACATTTCCAGGGCCAAAACAAACAATCTCCCGAGGCCCTCTTGAGAAGCCAGTTTTCACAGGGTTGTTGACCATCATGGCAAAGCACTGGTCGTCCTGAGAAGATACTTGGCAACAAGCGTTCTCTGTTTCGGAGGGGAGAAGCTGCTTGCTGAAAAAGCGAGCTGACCGTTCTATAGTTTGGAGAGCTGGGACGGAGGATGGGGAATGTGGCAGGCGCCGCCCTTTCAATCTGATGTGCTGTAACAGTCGCTGCAAAACACATATCGCTAGCTTTTGGTTTTTGGCCCGCTCCCCCCCTCCCCACTTCATTGAGTCGGCGCCTACTTAATTAAGGGACTAGTAAGCTACTAGGTACAGGACGCTCCTAGGTAGGACGCAGGATAGCTCACGCTCGCACTAATGATGTGGTTTCTATAGTTTTTGAGAAACTTAAGAAGACAAAGGAAGCCTGACTGAGTCCACCACAATCCCAGCACCACTGTTCCACGCGGGTGTAGTTGTAGTTGACGTAGTTGATCTATCTACGTCAACAACTTCAATGACCTTGGCAGGAAAAACAAGAACATCCCAAAAGCACAAGAAGCTAAAGGAAGGAGTGTCGGGGCCGTCAAGTCTCTCGAGCAAACCCCTAACAAATCCTTGCAAACCAACGATAGAAAAATAGGAACAAAGGAAGAAAGGCTGGCCGAAGGTCTAAAGAAAGAAAAAGAAGTGAAAGGAAAGAAAGGTCTTAAAGAAAAAAGACCAGAGAAAGGAGTCAGAGAGGAGAGAGGGAGAGAGCCGGGGAGATTTTCTCACTCAGTTCACTCCTTCACTCCCCACTTCCATCCTCACCCACGGCCACAAAGAGATAAAAGAGCGCAGTAGGCTTGGTTTGTCTCGCTCCGGCATTCACTTCTTCTTCCTTTCTCTCACTACCAGCACACTCAATATCACATCTGCAGATGTAATTCGACTCTTGACTTTGGTTGAGCTGCATTCTCGGATGCCTTGATCGCTGCTGTGGCCGTCTGCAGTAAGTATGAACCACCTGATCCAAACATGGAAACAAGATCGAGACAAAAGCATCCAGAAGGCCAACTCTAGGAAGACCCCTCTAGTTCCTGCTCTCTCGTTTTCATTTATGTGTAATATTTGTATATAACTATATAATTCCTTGTCCTTTCTCCTGAATCCATCAGTCTATTACTGCAAAGAATTTTGTACACGCAAATGTTCAAACGTGAGAACATGTACTCCCATCTGTGAGCCCTCGCACAGGCTGTCTTTGTCAGCCAGGTCTTGGCATCCACACTCTCTTCAATCACAAACGGAGTGCTTGAAGCACTTCCCAAGGTGAGAATCACAGGCACAAACAGCCTTCCGGCGTTACTCATCTCTGGTGAAGAATCGGCATTTGTGCGACTGCTTGGCAAGCAAAGGTGCAGTGTGGGATGGAAGTCTGGACAACAAGGTTGTATTGCAGAACGGAGTGAGTTAAGCACACCAAACCCTTTGCCTCGAGTAAATCATTATGGAGTTCTGTAAAGCGGATGCTGGCGTTCTTCCCAGCAATGCCTTGAAGCACAACTCGGGTCGAATAGTACATAATTTGCTCCTGCAAGAAACCTTCCCAATGCATCCGAGGTTCTTGGCAAAGAATGGTGGGCAAGAATTTTCGGCACCAGTCTTGAGCCAAACTTTCCAGGTCGAAGATTAAGGTATCTGTCTTCAGGCATGGCAAGAAAAAATGCTACACTTGAACTTGCCATGTGAATCTAGTATGTAAAGTTGTCTGCCAATATAGCCATGCAAATGGGCCTACCACATATTGGTTTCCTCTGGAATCACCAAGAAGGTTGACCTTTGCCCAAAAGGTCCCCCAAGGGTGGGCTCCTCCGCATTGAAGTTGGACTCATTGATTCTCCTCGAGTTGCTAGCTGCGCGGCAAAACGTACAAACAATAATCAATTCAATTTGTTTGGAGTGACCGCTCAGAATGAATTGCCAGCAGCAGCGGTTGACAGAAAACGATGGATTCTAAGTTTTCTATATAATACCGGCGAGTTTGTGGCCTACTGGGGCCTACTACCAATGCTGGCCAAGAATCCCCACAGTTTCCACTGGTATTTCTGGAGGCAACATCACGCTCGAATCAATACCTTGGTGCAGGGCCAACTTTTTCCAGCAGCAGCCATAAGAGCGAGCTGTTTTAGTTTGCTTGGTTGTTGTCGACACTACTTCAAATCGTCATGCTACCTCAAAAAGAGTTTCTCCTCTTTCACTGCGACCGCTCATGGAGTCATGATTGTAAAGTTGCATAGTGGCAAACAGCACAAGTAAGCGGTGAAAACAATCAACGTGTGGTAAAGTTGACTTGGTTTGGATTGCTTGGGTTTCCACGGATTGCCATCTTCCTGAGGCAATGTGACATGAGATTTGCGAACAAGTCACACTCCGAAAGCTCCTGAGACTGGGAAGCATTGCTGATGATTAGTGATTAGAGATCCACCAAGTGCATGGTGGCTGAAGTACATGTTCAAACTTGTTCTTAGGCATGCAAATTCTCAAGGGTTTCCAAATGATCAGTCCTCAACCGTTTCGATTTGGGAAGTTGTTGCCTCGGAGCAGTGTTTTTGGGACGCATGGGTTGAGATTAATGCTATTTAGCGGAGCAATTAAAGGGTTTTCCGCGCATCAGTGACATGTGGCACAAGGCTGAAGGACCTCAGTGGCCTACTCAGATCCAACTCGAATGCCAACATCTTGCAACTTTGCAGGTGAAACTAAGGCACTTGTTACTACTAGCGATGCACTTGTTCCTAGTAGCGTGGCACTTGTTACTACTAGTAAGGCACTTGTATATATATTAGGTCCATCGCATAACGGGCCGTGGTGCGAAATGACAAATCTGATCGTAATTAGCTTGAGGAAGATTCGCTCAGCGTTTTCAAGGATTGAATGGCACAACTACATTGGCAAACAATTTTCCTGTGTACGTCCCTGTAGAATTGACACTTCAACATTCAAATCAAGTTGCCCCCAACTATTCGGTTTTGCAAGTTGTTAAGTCTGACTGGGTAATCCATTGTTTATTTGGGGTCTATTGCCACACAAGCTCATTTTCAAACTTCTGCTTTCGGGCTCCGTGTGCTTTCAGCAATGTTCACAAAGAAGAAGAACTCTTTTGGGGTCGCAGGCGTCACAGACTGTCGGAAAACACACTGAAAGATGATGTCTTTCAGTGCCGGGTCAAGCTTTCTGTGATCTTTGACCTTCACAGCTTCCCAGTTGCTCAACCACACCAAGGAGTCACCGCAATCCCGAGTTAAACCATCTATATATATTGATCTAAAGAAAACACTGCACCCGCCACAATGGTTGTAAACAAGAAAAAGCAGGAGGACAAGACACACCGACCAACCGAAACAACAACACTAGAACACACCCGGTCGCAACTTCTTGGGCCTTCATGTAAAAGGAACTACGGCAATACAGGAGATGACAAAACACATGGAAGCCCCATGACAAAAAAGGCACATCTCCTGACACATACGTATGAAAAATGCATGTCACGAGGAAACTAGAAGCATTGAATGACTGACATTAAAGGATCATTATGTAAGTACTCATCGGGGAAAACACCGTGATTAGAAACATCTATATTGCGGTACCTTATTATAGAAGATATCAAACAATATTTCCAA